TGATTAAATCCATCTCAGTGTCTCAACAGATGGGAGAAACTCTAATTTACTAAAATTCCTAATCTTACCTAGGATGAGAGGAGGTACCTTTGACCACGAGAAGCCCTACACCAGGTAATAGCTGAATACAGTAGCCAGGCAGAGCATGGCAAAGAGAGCATCAGACTTGAGACCTCGCTGAGGCCCTGACCGATACCAGGAACCCAGCCAATTAGAATATTGCTGCACGAAGAATATCTGCTGAAGATCAGGGGGAGGAAGCTGAGGAGTTAGGCAGTAGGCTGGAGACCCAAGAGGTCGAGAAAGTTGGTGTCCATACAGCTGTTGGGGATTAGGGAGTGGGATATGAGCCCTCATGGAAAAAAGGGAGGTAACACACTGAGCTGGTTCTGAAAGAATGGAAGGAGAAAGGTCAGAGGCAGAAAGGAGAGAAAAAGAGGACCTCAATGGTTTCTGAAACACATTCAAATTTGGGGGAGCTTCTCCAGAGGAAATCTCATAACTAAGGATAAGATTTTGTCATGGAGGTCACGGATTCCACAACTCTCAGGGATCTCTGTGACATTTTCCACTTCAGCTTCAGCCCCATGCCCTGGGGCGGTGAGGCTGGAGTTGACAGCCGGAGGAGGCCCCAGAGATGTCAGCCACCTGTGGGCGACGGGTCCCCGGAGCAGTCAGATGCTGCAGGCGGCAGGGGCCCAGAGTTCTGAGACTCCGACCCTGGAGCTCTCTCAACTGCTACAGGTGGTGAGGGTCCTGCAGCTGTCAGCTGCTGTGGGCACAGGGATCCCAGAGCTCTGAACCACCATGGGTGGCAGGGGCCACGGAACTCTCAGCTACCGAGGGTGGCAGGAGCCCTGGAGCTGTCAGCTGCTGTGGGGATGCTGGGGCTATCACTCCCCCCAGGGGGCTCGGGCTTCAGTCGTCCCCCCATTAACCGCCCCATTTATTTTTAGTAAAAGTCACAGACAGGTTGGAGGCTTCCGTGAATTTCAGTTTATTGCCTGCAACATGTCCGTAACTTTTAATAAACATAACTGTGACAAAATCTTATCCTTTCTCATAACCTTTTGAGGTTTGAACATCATGAAAACTGATGTCTTTTACTTGTCACTAAATCTAAACATAAGCTCAGCACCTTACGGTCAGGCTAGTGCATTTGACCACTGCCCTCTGTGCCAAAGAAATATTCACAACTAATACTGTAACAAATGCCTAGTACCTGGGGCTTCACAGTTGTCACTTCAGAACCCCATGGGAACAGCGGGGCAGAACTCAGATCATTCTGCTTCAAGACATTGCTTCAGCTAAGCACAAGTATCTATTCGGTGAAGCACTTAAGTACTTAATTTTAAGCATGCACTTAAGTCCCATTGAACATGTGCTTAAGTCCCATTAATGTCAATCTGATGAGTTTCCATTAGCTGTTAGTGAGATAGAGCCTATGATTTTGTAAAATAAATTCATTAGAGTGGGTAGTTCTGATTCTGTCCAGCAGAGGGCTGTGATCTACAATATTTTACATTTATATAGTACCTTTCACCAGAGGCGATCCAAGCAGTTTACAAAGTTTTGGGGGAATAATTTGTTCTTTAGATAATAATTCACACTTCCAGAATCTGATGGACAAAATTAAAACGTTTGAGTTCTAATGGAAACAGCCTGGGGAACTGAGCCCCTGACAGATCTAAGTAACGTGCTTTAGGTCACACACTACATCAATTATAGAACTGATAAGAACTGAGAGCTCAGCTCTCTGAACTCTTTGACTGCTGGTCTAACAGCTAAATAACGCTGACTTCATTTTACTAGAACTTATATATAACCTATATGCTCAAATAAAAATATTTGACATAAAACCAATGACTCTTCAAAGAACAGCACATATATATGGATCCTTAAATGTTTTCTTGTTGCATTTTTTCTATTATCCACATGGTGGAGCATCAGAAAACAAATATTTTGTTGCTATGTGCCCTCAACATAGATGTGAAATGGAGATGCTCAAGAACTTGACACATAAACCACTTATATAATTATATGCTCTGGAAACTGCTGTTGTAATTTACATGATTGACTAGATCAGTCACCAGTAAAGGGAGAGAAAATACCCTCAAATTGTAAAAAACCAAACTTAAAAAAAAATATGATCAATTGAGGAAACAGTAACATTTTACATGGATCATGCTTCATCCCAGTGATGAAATATAACACACTTTATTTATTCATTTCAGTATTTAATATGTGCCTCTCCAGCATATTCCAATTTGCCTAGCCAAAGTCCTCAGAAATTAATATATATTCACACACCTATATAGCCTATCCAAAGATCTAGAAAGTCAGTTTCTAATCCACATACCTAGATTTGATTAGATCACTCCACCTATGACTGAAATTCAGCCACCATTGGAGTGGAATATGGCAGCTGCTTAATAATGCAGTGTAACACCGCACAACATTTTTTTGGATAGCAGCTGAAGAATAGCTAACTGAAATTATCTTTTATAGTCAAAGGCCTTCCAAGTGTTAATTAACTTATCAATTGGAATGCATTTGGTACACTTAATAAGAATGCCACTGCCTGGAAAAAAATACCCTTTGTTTTCTACAGTGCCTAACATACTGGTTTTCAACCTTTTTTCATTTGAGGACCCTTAAATTTTTCTGAATGGAGGTCTGGACCCCTTTGGAAAATTTAAATATAGTCTATGGACCCCAGGTTGGAAACCACTGTTCTATGGTAACGACAACCGTTCGTGAACCCCTTAGACATAGTCTGTGGACCCCCAGAAGTCTGTGGACCTTAGGTTGAAAACTGCTGACCTAACACAATTGGAGCCTGAGTCTTGGCTGGCCCTTTGGCACTACTGTAATAAACATGATTAATAAAAGGTGATTCTTTTTTCATATTTGTTTTGTTGTCAAATTCCCGCAAAATTACTTGTGTGTTTTTATGATACTTTGCAGAATGTTCTTCCCAATTCCCTGAAAAAATCTCACTTACCCCCTCAGCCAGAGTGAATACATAGATAAATAGTTATACAGGCAAACAAAACAGTGAAAGTTTTTTCCTTATCGTTTCCATCAAGGTGCAGAGTGGGAGAGTAGATTTAGTGGCCCAGCTGGTGAATTTTGCAGGGCTGCTGTGATAGCCTAGTTACCATTAGTCTCATCTGCCCGCCTTGCCTTTGTGCTGGCTATTTTCCACCAGATGTCGCTCCTGGTCTCCTTTTACTCTGCACTGCTAAAGGAGAAACTGGCTTCTCCCATCTCAGCAGGTTAATAATCCACTTAGCAATGACTAGATCCTTAGCTCAGAGACTTGTTGCAACCGTGATGGGCAGTGCTTCAGCAGCCAAAGGACTAAGCTGAGAAGATTTTTCAGTAAGATATCAATCAAATGGTGCAAAGGCAACACATGTGGCTTTCTTGTGGGTCCTTAGAACGTCACAGCATTTGTTTTGTTGAATTGTCCCTGAAAATGTTCATTGTTTCTTTTTGTGCAGTGCCTCTCCCCCAGTCAAATTTCATTGTATTCACAGTTACAATCAAAAGGCTATTTTTGCACTGAAAATACAAATTCTTGCCTGTCAAAGTGATCCTCACTTTAAAAATTAGCCTCCCCCCCCTTTTTTTTTTGCTTAGAAAAGTGCCTGACTTTGTTTTTAAAAAAGTGTGCACCATAGTGACATGTTCATAAAACTGGAGCCATTGTCACGTTCGAAGAAAAATCTGCTTTTCGAGTAGCCTTGCATTTTATTTCACATGCTCCACTAGTTTTACTACTGGGCCCCACCATTCCCTCAAGAGGAAGAGTGGGATGAGGTGGGGACGGAGTGGGGAAGTGACAAGGCTCTTGTCCCTGTCCCTGAGAATGTCAATTACTTGTTGGCAGGGGAGAGTGGGAAGACTAAGGACCTCAGCCTGTGTGTGTCTGTGACTGGTATGGCTCCATCTGGTTAAGTTTGGGGGTGCAGTCAGGGCATGTGCCCTCACACTGGGTGTTGCCCACACAATCTATTCAGACCAGCAGACATTAGACAGGAAAAACAAGGCGAGCCCAAGGGCACATATATCCTGGTGGGTGCATCTTCTTTCCCTGCGCCCCTGGGGGCAGGGAGAGACACGCCCCCCGCCAAAGGACACTGGTGGGGCCACTGCTGCCTAGTTTCCCTGCAGGGGATGGGCAATTTGAAAATGAGGCAGCCTATGAGGGGTGTCCCTGGGACGTGGCCGATTTCTCCTCCCAGCCCTGCACCCGCCGGCTCCAGGCCCCGTGTCAGCGGCTTGGCTGTGGGTTTTCCATGGCTGGACAGCTTGTGCGTGGGGAACAGCGAGGCGGAATCGCGCCCCTTACCGCCACGGAAATGTGCTGGAGTAAGGGAGGGAGCCCCCACTGCAGGGGCGGGACGGGGCTCTGCAGGCTCCCGCTCCGGGGGGCGGGGGCGGCGATCAGGGGCCGCTGGTGACACCCGCGCGGATTTACCCCTTCGCACGCGGCGGGCGCGCGCGGCATTTAACTCGCGCTCCCGGGCAGGCAGCTCCGCGCCGGTCTTCGCAGCTCGTGCGCACTACAGTAGCAGCCGGCGGGCGGGCGGGCTCGAAGGCGGTGCTTTGTGACGGCAGCGGGGTTCGGGCGGAGCCGCCGCCGCCTGCGATATAAGGGGCGAGTGCGGCGGGCGCCCCGCGCAGTAGCGAGCGGCGGGAGTTGGGCTGGCCATGGAGTTACTGCGGACTATCGCTCACCAGCCGGGGAGCAGCGCCGGCGGCCCCAAGGGGGGCGAGCCGGGGCTGGGCAGAGCCTGTGGCGGGGAAGCCCGGCGCAAGAAGCCGCTGGAGGAGCAGCCGCAGCATCACCACTCGCAGGCTGCCCCCGAGGTCTCCCGGATTATCACCGACCCCGGCACGGGCAAGCGCTACTGCCGCGGCAAAGTGCTCGGCAAGGTAAAGGACCGGCGCCTGCAGCCTCCGCCCCCGGGGCTCCGGAAAGCGACTCGCATGGCTCGCCGCGGGGAGCAGCCAGCCAGGCATCTCTGCTCCCTTCCCGCACCGGCAGCGGGGCCGAGCGCGGCATGGTCCTTCCTCGAGCCGGGCAGGCGTGTCCTGCCCCACCCCTTTCCCTGCATGTCAGTTCGCGTGGTCACCTGCTGCATGCTGCGAATTCCCCCCTTGGCAGCCGCAGGCCCGCCTGGGTGGCTGGCTGGCTTGGCGGACTCGCTCTGATACAGCGCGGTGGAAGTGATGCCCTGTGAATGTCTAAAACTGGATCGGATCTCCTTGTCTGTGTAAACGGGAGCGTTTGAAGTATGCTATGTTAAACTGGCCCTCTCTGCCCCACCACTTATCCCTGGATCTCCCATTTCCTCTATCCCTAAAATTGTGTTTTTTCTCATGTCATGGCTATAAAATGGCTTTGATTTGGGAGCCGTCCTCCTCCCCCCACACAATGAGGTGGGGGTCTGTCTGCTACCGAAATGCCAAATGCAGAGGAAATTACACCGACCCCCTACTCTTGCAAGCTTCTTGAGTAATTAAATCCAGCAGATGACTGATTAAATGAGGAACCTCTTTCATACCATCCTTAATTGCCTTTTTTTTGGTATATCTCTCTAGGGTGGATTTGCCAAATGTTATGAGATGACAGATTTGACAACGAACAAAGTCTATGCTGCAAAAATCATTCCTCACAGCAGAGTAGCTAAGCCTCATCAAAGGGAAAAGGTGTGTGCATGAGTGACTCTTGTTTAAAAAATCTCTTTGTGTGCTGCGTTGCCCTTCCCTCTTTAGAAATGTCTGCTGGCGTTAGCAATCTCCTCAGCCAAGGTTGCAAGGCTAATAAGCTTTTCTTGTGTCTTGTTCTTTAGATTGATAAAGAGATAGAGCTGCACAGAATGCTTAATCACAGCCATGTTGTACAGTTTTACCACTACTTTGAGGACAAAGAGAATATTTACATTCTTCTGGAGTACTGCAGTAGAAGGGTGAGCATCAACTGGGAGAAATCCAGTATTCACTTACCTGGGATCTGCAACTAATGTAAATATATAATATGTGAAAGGTGTTTCTCATAGCTTCTTTAGGGGTCATTTCTCCTTGCTTTTTATTTAAAAGTGAACCTACTTGAGAACTTTAATTCACCTCTTTGTTTGTGTGTGGGTTTTTTTTGCAGTCTATGGCTCACATCTTGAAAGCAAGGAAGGTATTGACGGAACCAGAAGTGCGATACTACCTCAGGCAGATCGTGTCGGGGCTAAAATATCTTCATGAACAGGAAATCTTGCACAGAGACCTTAAACTAGGTAAGTCATTTTTCCCTCATTGATTGCAAAAAGCACTGCTTCCAGCAATGGGGCACTTAGCAGACTGATAGCTCAATTGATAGAATCACCTCAGTCTTTTTCTACAATGGAAACCTGGAGCACTTAAGTAATGACATTAAGTATTCATAAAAAAAAAGGTTGGCTATCTACTGGCTTTTGTTAGTGTGACTCAGCACTAGTGGCTAATGCATCCCTATCTTCCAAGGAAGGGATTCACTTTTTATTTTTTATTTTTTTGGGTCTAGGTAATTTCTTCATTAATGAGGCCATGGAACTAAAAGTAGGCGACTTTGGTTTGGCAGCAAGGTTGGAACCGCTGGAACACAGAAGGAGGTAGGAGCCTCAAGAATGTTTAAGGAACAGCATTAATCCAAACTGGACTCTAAAAATTAGAGGAATACAAAGATCAACTAACTGCTGCAGGGGTCAGAACTTTCCCCCTCCTGTAAAAGCACTGCAGTATGTGGTGGGTGGCTTGTTGCTCTGGACACTTAGATACTGGCCAATGCCAGAGGCAGGATGTGTGACTCAATGTTGCAATGATGTACCTAGTAGGGCTTTTCTTGTATATTGAAGACTGTAAATAGGAATGTTGGTAACAGTGCAAACATGATTCACACTGTTTTTTGAGAGCTTCTAAATTTCTGCCCAAATCTAATGGGGGAGGGGGGCAAACTGCCCAATGGAAACACCCCTACATTTCTTCTCTGGGTTAATATACTGAGTCCTGATCTCTTTGATTTGCAGAACAATCTGTGGCACACCAAATTACCTTTCTCCAGAAGTCCTCAACAAACAAGGTCATGGATGTGAATCTGACATATGGGCCTTAGGTTGTGTAATGTAAGTATCACTTCAAAGACTCAAAGCTATCTTGATAATATACTTAGGGTTCAAAGGAGAGGCAATGACTGGGTGAACACAATGCCTGAAGTCTGCCTAACCTATGAATATAACACATGAATTATCAAAGCAACCTTCTTGCTAAGAAATGGGCTGCTAATTTAAAGGGGCTTTAAAAAAAAACAAACCCTATATTTTGAAGTGTTTTTGCATTTACTCAAGTACTGAGCCTCTTTTATTCCTCTTAAACAGGTACACAATGCTGTTAGGAAGACCCCCCTTTGAGACTACAAACCTTAAAGAAACCTACAGATGTATAAGGGAAGCAAGATACACTCTACCATCATCTCTTTTGGCACCTGCAAAGCACTTAATAGCTAGCATGTTGTCAAAAAATCCCGAGGACCGGCCCAGTTTAGATGATATAATTCGACATGACTTTTTCTTACAGGTTTGTACTGTGTGGCTTTCTGGTTCAGAATGTTGCATTATTCTAAGTGCACATCACAGTCTTCTAAGTATTGGCTTCTACATTTCATTTCCACAGGGCTTTACACCAGATCGACTCTCTTCTAGCTGTTGTCATACTGTTCCTGACTTCCACTTGTCAAGTCCAGCTAAGAATTTCTTCAAAAAGGCAGCTGCTGCTCTGTTTGGTGGTAAAAAGGAAAAAGCAAGATACTTTGATACACATAGTAAGTACATTAGAATTATACTTGTGTGTATATAGCTTGCTTACACTTTGTGTTAACTAGTGGTAAAAACAGCATTTGCATTTACCCAAGTATAATACTGTAAACTGTTAATTTACATCACTGAACTATCTTGTCCTTGTCATATTCATATTGATCTGCATGCTACTAGGTTTAGGCAGATGTAGCCCATAGTCTACATTCCCAATTTACATAGGAAAATGTTTCTTATATATACCAGCAAGCTTTTTATTGGGCCATAATCTACTGTTTCTGTTAACTACACTCTTAGTCTCAAGGTAGAAATGCCATTGTACGTAATGATGGCCAGGAGTATGCCGCAGGTGGGAGAGAATGCACTGCAAGAAGAGAGAATTGAGTTGTTTACACATTCCATCCTTGTTTGTAGCTAATGTTGTTGTGGGGTATTTATATTATTAGGTATTGCAAAAACATTCTTAGATATGATGTTAAATATTTGGCTTTTTTAAATTATAGATAGATTAACTAAAGAGGACGAAGAAATCTACAAACTTAGACATGAATTGAAAAAGACATCGATAACCCAACAGCCCCACAGACACAGAACGGATGAGGTATGGTCAAACTGATGAACTACAATGGGATGGGGTAGTAATAACTGATACTTGGCAGGAATTCATAATTGAGATTTATATTTCCTAACCACGTTTAAATGATTAGCACTTATATGGTAGTGACTGTTGTAAGAGGACTTAGGCATGTTTTTGCCACACTGGTATGTAGTAGCCTTTAGTATCTGTATAGAGTCTCTCTAAGTCTTCAGAATTTATTACTCTATCCTTCTAGAATCTGCTTTATCTGGGCACCATTCTGCACAAATTTTAAAGGGATGCTGGCAGGCATTTCTCCCAATACGCCAAATATAAGGACTTACATTTTTATAATAACTAATTCTTCATAGAAGGCCAATGAAATTATTGGGATTTTAATGTTCACATGCAGTGTGTGCAACCCAAACGCTGCAGCATTTTGTGAGTTCATGAGCTAGAGAGTAACCAGTTTTGCTACATTGTCCAGGTATTGTGAAATGCAAGACCTGAACAGCATAAATAAACTACATGTTATTGTCCTGATAATGTTCCTTCATACTTGTTAGGAAGCAGACACTAGATCTCCTAAAATTATTTAGTTGTCAATTGGCATTGCCAGGATCAGTCTTTAATATGAGAGCTATACAAAAGCTCTGTGTGAACCTTGCCTTGCCTTATTGATTCTTAAATGTATAATTTCTTCTTGTAGGAGACCCAGCCTCCTAACATTACAGCAGCCAAACCTGGAACTCTAGCAGAGACCAAACAGATTGGAGACTCCATTCGAATGATAGTTAGAGGAACTCTAGGAAGCTGCAGCAGTAGCAGTGAATGTAAGTACAACATTAATGGAGTTCAAGATGGGGTTTTCCTGTTAAATCATAACATGCAAAACAGTAAAAACAAGCATCAAAGAATTGGATTTCAGCCTTAGAACACATTTCTTCCCATTCCTAAAACTAAACGTTGGTTGCAATTCTTCATTCTGAAAATTAATCTTAAGAGGCTGACAAAGCTGGATTTATTTAGACTAAGGTGTAGATGGTGGGTGTGTTACATTATGCAGATAATTCAGGATTTGGCAACAGTTCTGCTCTTCTTTTTCAGGTTTGGAAGACAGTACGATGGGAAGTGTTGCTGATACAGTTGCAAGGGTACTGCGAGGTTGTCTTGAGAACATGCCAGAAGCAGATAGTATTCCCAAAGAACAGCTGACAGCATCTTTCCAGTGGGTTACAAAATGGGTTGACTACTCGAACAAATATGGCTTTGGTTACCAGCTGTCAGACCACACTGTGGGTGTTCTTTTCAACAATGGAGCACACATGAGCCTTCTACCAGACAAAAAGTAAATGCCTCCAAATGATTAGAAATTGACAATTCACTAAGTTGAGTCTGCCTTAAATTTTATGCTTGAACATACCTGTAATTGTTGGGTTTATTTTTTCCCTTGTCCGGCAGAACAGTCCACTACTATGCTGAGCTAGGCCAGTGCTCTGTCTTTCCAGCTACAGATGCTCCTGAACAGTTCATCAGCCAAGTAACGGTTCTGAAATATTTCTCTCACTACATGGAGGAGAACCTTATGGATGTAAGTACAACTCAAATTCTGAAAGACCACTGAAGGCAATGAACTTGCAGTAAACATAAGCTGACATGGTGGCTTTGTGCTCTTTTTTTTTCCCCCCCCCTAGGGAGGGGATCTGCCCAGTGTAACTGATGTTCGCAGACCCAGGCTTTACCTCTTACAGTGGCTAAAATCTGACAAAGCATTAATGATGCTCTTCAATGATGGCACACTTCAGGTAAATACTTCTAGGATGGTGTTAAATGAATGTGTGCCTGATACGCTTGTGCAGATGAACTTGTGACTTTCCTTTAGAGTCCTGCATTTGAAGGTTGACCGGTGAAAATGTCTTATCTTTTTTGCAGGTGAACTTTTATCATGATCACACAAAAATAATCATCTGCAACCAAAGTGAGGAGTATCTCCTTACCTACATCAATGAAGATAGGATATCAACAACATTTCGACTGACAACACTTCTGATTTCTGGATGTTCATTGGAACTAAAACACAGAATGGAATATGCACTGAACATGTTGCTGCAAAGATGTAACTAAAAGACTGTCTCTTCTTAAACCAAAAGGACTCTTTTCACTGTGAAATCTACAGTGGAGGCAGTGGAGCGACTAGTATGTTGATGATGGATGAGTGGTGGTACGAAAACTATACTCTTGTAGTGTGCTGGGCTGGGACCAGACAGACCTAATCCTACTTTGTTGGACTCATGAAACAGTGTGACAAGGAGTTCTTTGGAATATAGCTTTCTTGCTTCGCACATGTTTAAAGGCTTGACTGAAGTTCAGCAGAGTGACTTCTAGTTCTGTAGGGAGCAGTTCTAATGGAGGACTTAAAACTGTGAATATGCATCTGGAAGGGGAGGGAGGGGGAGAGCTCCATGTTGTGGAATAGCTGTAATGAGCAGGTTTTGGCTGCTTAAAACTGTGAACTATGGCCATAACTTCTTCCTTATTTTTCAAGAACTAGCCACTTGTGGCTGGCAAAGTGCATTCCTTGTTAATAATTTTTTATTTATTACAGCCCAAAGTCAAGTATTTATTACACAACATTTTTTTGGACCTTGATATTTTAAATATACATTTGTTGGCAATAAAGAGAATGGAAAAACTGAACACTCTCCACCCATTTCTTTAATATGCAATTTAAGATCCTCTGCTCTGCATCAATAAAACAAGCTTGCTGGATTGCTTTCCTAAAACTCTCTCTGAAAAATGATACTCACTTGAGCCTTAATCGGCTCAAAAGCTTAAAACTACTAACCCATAACACTGAGCATGAAATGGGCAAGCTGTTCATCCAAATAGAGAAAATGATCATATGCTTCAATATTCTGTCAAAAGGTAAATTTTACTGCCACTCTTCGGCAGAAGTCTGATACAATTGGAAGTTGTTGGAGTTGCGAAATAATTGTGCAGATCTTAGCTCTATTTCTACAGTAGTAATATAACTAAAAACAAGGGTGAGATAGGCCTTCAAGAGGCATCATGCCAGGAGTTTAAATGAATTCTTGCCATTAATTAGAACAAGTCTTCCTCTGAAGGGTACTCAGTGGAATTGTACATTGCTGTTAAAGTCAGAGTTCATTGTGTGTAAACTTCCCATCTTCCACAATGGATGAAAACTCTTGGTATTGGGAGAGGGAGGCTTGAGTTATTCCATGAAAACTCAAACACTAGAATCTCTCGTCTGTGTCTATCACTTAGCTTTTCAGACATGACTAGGCATGTTTCTCTTCCATCATGCTTGAGTGGCTATTTTCTGACTAGTTAAAATGAAACCCAATTAAGTGTCTAACAAAGATGTAGGGAGGAAGAAGCAACTCTAGCATAAAACTTAGTACCCAACTTCTGGCTGAACTAGTCAAGATTAACAATGCAGCTAATTAAACATTTTTAACCAAAACAAATTTTATATATGTCAAATGTGCAATATTGGAATTTGGTGTCTTAAGTGTCCCTGGATATGTAGTATGGACTTCTTCATATCTTGGTTAAATGTACAGAACCTCTAAGTGCTCCAAAATGGCTGGGGGGAAACTCTTGCTGTAGAAAACTGTACACAGATGTTTAACACAGCAAACAGTAATCCAGTCCTTTATTCAATAAAATAATCCCTATGTACCAGTGATACCTAAGTGGTATTCTTACAATTATCTTTCCACATATGTCCTCAGTGTGTCAACCAATCCAGTTGACTACATGAAGTGGAAAGTCTTGTAAAACAAAATGCAGACAGAACAAATAAGTGCAATTAAAATTAGTGAATGGGGGTGGGATTAGACCTGACCGTAGGTCTCCAGTGATTTGCATTATCATCTAGCCTTTGTATAAAACCTCATCTGAATCTTCTGATGCAGTTTTTGCTCTTCCTGCATATTGTGCATGGACTAATATTTATTTAGTCTCAAAGTCTAGACCGGAAGACCAGATTGAGCTGTTATGCTGACAGATATTACTCCAGCTACTTCAATGGGCGTTAAACTAGATTCTTGCTGTTGTGAAGAGAATTTGGACCTTCACGCTCCCCCAGAAGGGAGATGTTGATGACTGACTTTACTCCTAATTGACTGATTTTCCTCCAATTGCACATGCAGCAACTTGTTGTAACTCCTGGTTTTCCAGAAAGAAAGATTTACTTAAAAAAACAACAAGCAAGCACTTGCAACACTATCTAAGCGATGCAATGATGTCTGGTTAACAAGGACCCTAAATTGGCCCAGAATATTCAGAAGTGGAAAGTGCAGAGGGTGACTGCTGCATTAATGGCATTTGCAGCACAGAATAAAATATGAGATTGGAGTACCATTTTTCTACTGTGTCATTCCTTAAAGAGAAGATCTTACCTGCTTAGATGTATACATTGACAGTACCTATAGCTAGCTATGAATGCTGAGTTAAATGAATACCTATGCAATCAAATACAATTATGGCCATGAGCTGTGCTAGGTATTTGTAGACCATAGCTTCCTATCTTCACACTTTTTATGCCTTATTAACTTCAGTAGTGGCAAACATCTCTTTGATTGAATTGCCACAATTAAATTATACCAATACATTCCAATTAAGAAGTAAAAACTCTATTTAAATATATGGTACTAGACTCTAATATCATGGTTCATCAATGTTTGGAATTTAGTTTAATAGAATATAAAGTTTTAGCCTCTGGGATTTATCCTTGTAATTTTGTTTCAATGAGAAAACAAAATTGATTTGAGAGATTTGGGTATATCAAGGCTTTACAAGTTAGGGTTAGGCTAAATTTAGAAATAGTCTTCTTCCCTGATTTCACAGCAGAGGGAAAAGTCAGACATTTTACGGTGTCTGTGTCATGTGAAAATAAATCTGAACAGAAGTAGGCAAGGATGGCATCTTGGTTTAGTATTAACTGTTTTATGTTCTGAGTTAAGTCTAGTTCTAGTTCTCTTTTCTAATTATTATTTTAAAAAACCTGAATTTGGGGAAGGAGGACTAGGAGGTGTAGAGGATGACTAATTGGATGCAAAGCCCTTCACCTCTATGTCATTGGCTCAAATCTGTCCCAGGTCAGTAGTTCTAGAAAGCTGTTACCAGCTGATGGTAGTTCAGTGACCTATGTGAAATTATTTGATGAATTTAGCCTAGTTCCAAATAGACAGCTATATACACCATAATTAAATACTATACTGCTCTCTCTCAGGATGATGGCAGTTGTCCCTCACCCTGCCTAGATCCATTCCCTGCAATTCAGTGTTAAGACAGCTTGGTGTGCCCATGTGGGGAAGTTTGTGCTACCATTATCTGTTCTGGGAATAAATAGGACAGTCCTCCTGGCACTTTGCACACCTTTCTCTGCTGCCTCTGAGGGCTCCAATATAACTGCCAGCTCTTTTACATCCACCTGAAACCTTTCCAAGCTACCCATGTTTTACCAAGACCACCTCAGGAATTAGAAGCTTGTCTCTGGGACCAGGTCCAGGATGGCTACCAGGAGAGGGCTGAAGACCTTCTTCTTGAACCCTTGCTGCATAATCCCCATTTCCCTACTCAGGTCTTCGTGGACTCATTGGTGTACCAGAATTTGGTGCTGGCTGGTATCACCAGAATTGGAGGCTTTCTGGTCTATGGCCGGTGGGACTGGATGGGCCCTGGGACACTCATACTCTACATCTCCACTTCCTTGCCCTTGTGTCCTGTCCTGAGACAAAGTGGCTGGACTTTTATCACTTGTGGAGGGTGAGTGTCCCTCAGGGATCAGCCTTTTCGGAGTCCCCTGACATCTGTCCTTTCTGTGGCCAGAAGGAAAACTTGCTGCATGTGTATTTGCAGTGCACCACATTGTAATTCCTTTTCCATCTCCTCCAAAACTTCTTGTTGAGGTTCTGGCTGCATTTTTCCTTCCGCCTTTTTATTTATGCATTTCCTATCTGTGGCCCTATGAAGTCTCAGGAGCTCCTTGTCAATCATCTCCTGGCAGTGGCCAAGATGCCCATTTACCAATCTAAGAGGCAGATGTTGGATTGAGGATGGGGATAGGCTGTGGGCTTATTTCTAGTCATAGGTTGTTGATGGAGCCAGGCAGAGTTCCCCTGGAAGGTGTTCACTGATTCTTTGGATTCCATTGTGGAGCAATGTGTGCCATTCACAGGTCCTCAGCTTAGTATCCCATTCTGGTATCCTTTATTTTGACCCTGTGATTTTACCTCCATTCCTCTTTTTATATTCTTTGTCCCCCATAGTTAATGGATCCCTACTTTATTTTGTGGGTGCCCCACTTTTTGTTGTGAGGTGGCCATTTATATTTCTTTTGGGGATTAGATGGTGTAGCAAAAACACCTGAGCCCTCTCTGCACTACAGCTTCCACACTTGCTATGACTCGTGGAGCTGCATTAGTTACAGCTATGAAGTTTGCTAGTGTAGAAGAGGCCTAATTGAATAATTGTCTTATTGTCAACCATCTCTTGAAGCCAACTTCAAGTGACACATTAGCATCTTTGTGCCAATTCACTCTCTGGTTATTATAATTCTGCAGCCTTGTGGAATATGTCTCCTTTAAGAAAGTCAAAATATTAATCTGTTGACTATGCAATCGAGGTATCTGTCAGACAATTAGAATTAAGAAGACAGAGAACTGAAAATCTTGGGATTTTTGTCATATTTTTATATTTTTGAATAACTTGCTGGATGTTTTTTTTTTTTCAAATTCCCCTAAGTCACATATGGAAACAGTAAGGGACAAATTTAGCTTTTAGTTATCTGCAGTGGTGTAAATCTAGAGTAACTCCATGAAAGTCATTAGATTTACTCTGGATTAATTAATTCCAGTGAAAACTGACAATAGAATTTGGCCCTCATTTGCCTATTGAACGAATAGCTTTGTTTTGAAGTCTTTTTATTTCAACCAATCTCATCTTTAAAAGATTAGCTCAACTCCATGAGATATTTTGTGTGTCAAGACTTCCTTGTATAGGTCTAGCTATACTCAAATATTCCTCTCTCCATCTGTGGAGAGCTGAAATCTCTCTCCTGCCCTGATTTTTCTGTTTTCTTTCTTCTCAGAATGCTACATTGAGAAGTAAAATATCTTTAAAACTTGCAGCCTTTCTCCTGTAGACTTTTTTTCAATGAACCCTGATTGCAGTTTCTGCTATAATTATCCTAACTTAGTTAACTCTAAAATTTAATAAGCATTAACTTCAACATTGTTAACATCTCACTGAGATGAGTGAGACCAGTTCACAACTCTTATTAAAGTTATTCTTTTAAACTACAGACTCAGGAAGAAAGCATTGCTTTAGTTCTCATTTGAAACAATAGCTTTGTAGCCAAGATGGTTAGAAGCAAATCAATATGTACAAAATACTGGGAATTTAAAAAGTGGACTGATAGACCCTAAATCTATAGCATACATGAAAATTCCATACACGTGGACTTCAAGTGACCATAACTGTAGCCTCAATAGCATGTGTCTGGAAAATAAAGATGACCAAGTCATACCAACCACCTGTCTATGGCTAGCAGGAACTCAAAATCAACCTGGTTTTACAAACGCTTGCACAGTATTGTTGCCATTGATCTGTGATAGGGAAATAAATGATGCCTGTTTTTTTGCGTATTTATTATCCATAAAGGAGTG